TCAACAGAATTCGGCAGCGCTCGGTTTTCGGATATTGGGGGTCCAAGTGAAGAAGATGAACAAGGGAAGGATAGACCTTTGGTTCTCCGGAACAAGCCGCCTAGATGGCATGAGCAGCTGCAGTGTTGGTGTCTGAATTTCAGAGGGAGGGTAACCGTCGCTTCTGTCAAGAATTTCCAGCTGATTGCTGCTACACAGCGTTCAGCCGGTTCCCCAACACCAGCACAACCGGCTCAGTCATCATCAGATCATGACAAGATTATCTTGCAGTTTGGTAAGGTTGGCAAAGATATGTTTACAATGGATTACCGGTATCCTTTGTCTGCATTTCAGGCTTTTGCCATCTGTTTGAGCAGCTTTGACACAAAGTTGGCATGTGAATAGTAGAAGATTTTAGTTGATACTAGTAGTTTTCTCTTCCCTAGAGTTGCCTAAAGATTGAGTCCGTTGCAGTCATTGTGACTCTTCATTATAGCCAAGGAGATGCAGGGAGCTGTTGCAGCACATTGGACAGTTATTTTCTTTTTTTCTTTTTCCTCTTCTTGCCTCACTGTCGCGCCCCTCGTCGCTTTATCCTTCAATCATAGAGTTTAAGATGCTTCTGTTGTAATTTGTTGCCAAAGTGTTGAGTGTACTTGGTGAAAAGAACAATATAGACTTTGTACCATGTTTGATTTCCAGTTGTAACAGCCTTTTGTACGATCAGCCCACCTTCTAGTGTATTTTATCAGTTTGGATTATGCTGGCCATGATGTTTGATGTTATTGCTACATCTGTGTGGAGGCCATGGTAGTTGAAATTTGATATCTGCCTTTTGTGAATGAGACTCGGGTCTGTCAATATTTTAATTTGGCTTTTTCCTTTCAAAGTTATGTACAGTTTCTAATAAATAATTTTTGCAGAAGTTTTTTAAACTAACTTATTTGGATGTCGTAATCGTAGCTAATATTTCACTTTTCTTGAAATATATATATAACTAAAACTACAGTCTTTGCAAGAATATAATACGTGAAAAGTTGGCATTGCTTCAGGCTACTATGACTGGTTCTGAAGTGGAATAGCATGTGAGCAGAATTATTCAGCTGACTGCTACTAAGCTACCGAGGAACAACGCGTGATTCGATCTCATAGAGTTCAACTCCTGCTCTTAACCCATGACCAATATGAGCTCGAAATTTCCTTTGTGGTGTGTACAGGGAAGAGAACTCCTGCTCTTAACCCATGACCAATATGAGCTCGAAATTTCCTTTGTGGTGTGTACAGGGAAGAGAAGGGAACATCCGCCAATCGGTTTTGAAAGTTCTCATATGGGCCAATGAAGCCCAGTAATAGAAAAAGTTTTCTAGGCCCATTCTTATTTTGCGAAGACGAATTTTTAAGAAAAGGCCTGAGGAGGATAGAATTGGGAAAGTAGAGTAATTTGGCACTTAGAACTAAGTTTGAGGGAGAAGTCTACAATACTAATGAGATATGGACCCGAGGGGCTAATCAATTGTCGAAAATGAACATTAAGAGGACATTAAGAGATAGATGCACTTGTTTGTTCACATATATCAGTTACATAATAGATTTTAAGATATCTCGTACCCAGAAAATCACAATTCGAATTAAAACTTTACACTTGTGTATGGGTAAAATCGGGGACAATATTACCCCCAATTCCCTGATAAAAAGATGAGAGGGAAGGACGGTCCAACGCAACTTCAAGCGAAGCCTAAGGTTCCCTCGTGTCGGAGCTCGGGAGGGATGAACGATGTATCTTGGATCGGGCATAGCTAAACAACGAATCTGGTCTAAGTATGGTTTCGAGACCACGGGAAAAAGTAAACGGTTGAACATGACAAGTAGGGAGCCGTAATATTCGCCCTCAACCTTACGGCATGAATCCTGTCCGATATCAACCGCGGATCGACATTTACCGAAAAAGAAATAGTATTTAATTATTTTTAATTTTAGGATTTAATACAATTGGTTTTGCTTCCTTCTTTTCTTAAAGTATATTGTGTCAACTAATTTTTTTGTTTAATTTTTCCTTTATAATGTTTCTGCTTTGAGAATTAGTGAAATGCATGAGCAGCTACTGTGAGGCAACAATCATTTTTTCAATTATAGTATTTACAGAAGATTAGTTTTGATTTTTTTTTTTTTTAGTTTGTAACTAATATTTTATCAACTTGAGTGTTATGTAAATACTTTCTGGGTTTTATTCCTTAATGTGTGCGTCGTTTTCTTTAATACTCCCTTCGTTCACTTTTACTTGACACATTTTGACTTTTTACGGCTTTTAAGAAAAATAATAAATGAAGTGCATAATTTACCATGATACTCGTATCAATTTATGCATATTTTATTGGATTTGAGAAAATGATTTGAAATGAATAATAAATATCGTGGGTATAACAGGGAAAACTTTTTTTGTCTCTCTTGATATGCGTAAAGTAACAAGTAAAAATGAAAATTTATTTTTAGTATACCTGCCAAGTAAAAGTGAACGGAGGAAGTATAATGTTGTAGGAAAAAAAATATAATGTTTTAGTTACTCAATAAGATAAGCATCTCAATGAATGCATTTTTAGAATAATACAGTATTTATTTTTTAACTTTAATTTGAGTTTATAAACAAAGGTTCACTTTCACGTTCAAAAAGAAAGAAAAATAAGGAGAGAGAGAAGGAATATTTGACCACACATTTTTGTCCCTCAATGAATACATTGATGATTTGATTCAAATGTTAATTCCATTTACAATTATAGTTATTTGTACAATATCATTTACAAGAGAGAATATAAGAGTTTGGCCTCTTGCTTTTCTCAATCATGATACTCTATTCTCACTTTTATAGTTATCTTATATACTAGAAATCTATGTACCCACCAAAAACAAGAGTACAACACAAAAGTTTTCAAATTATGTTGCAGTGACAAGATGCGGTAGTCTTTCCTAATTATTATTTGATGCTAATAAAAAGCTTTGTATTTCATTTATATGATCTTCTAATATAGAACTAATAAATTTAAAAAATTTATTTGGGTAATTAGTAGCTTTAAAATGAAATTTATGCAATTTTAATTATAATTTATTTATTTTTTATTTTTTTTGAATCTCCTAAAATCTTTGTTAGTTATATAAATAATTTTCTTGGTAATGTATATATAATAAACTATATATAGCATTGCATATAAGTATTTTCTCTAAATAAATAAATTTATGAACTAACATGTGAATTAACCCAAATATGTATTGTTTAAAAGTGTTTTTTTTCTCACAGAAAAAAATGGATGATATAAGTTCATTATTAGTCTGCTGATCTCTTTGTAAATACGTTGATGTATAGAGCGAAGCGTGAGCAATTTTACTAGTGCTAATATAAAAGAAATCTGCATGTGTTGTTGACTCCTTAATAGTAAATTAGACAACTTTGGGAATGATGAAGCAACTAAAGGTTAATGGGGATCTTTACACCAACCAGCTTTATTATTTACTTTTCCTAATCGATATACATAGATTATACATAATTATACATATATTATATATACATATTATATATTTTTCGGCTACTTTTAGCTTAAGTAATTGAGTGAAGCAGTGGGTGATTATTGACATTTGAAAGCAAATTAAAAGGGAGAAAATGTGAAAAATGGAGGATTTTAGGGAAGTCCTACTTTCAAGAATTTCATATTTGCAGTTTTGCTCAAGTCTTGATCATTCACCTTTTGAAACCATATATTAATACCATCAGCTAATCTGGTAACATCAGTATTCGGCGAAATACATAAACAACCTCTTTAAGTTAGTCGTAACCCATCAACCGATTCCTTTACCATTTTGATACCTTTTCTCGACTAAAGTGCAACTCGTAACCCCTCAAGATGATATGGCAAAGCGTGTGCTGTTTAATTCACATTTGAGCGTGTGAACCCCTTAATTTTTTTTTTTTAAAAACTAACCTTAATTTTTGTGGACCCACTTACCTTCTTCTTTACTTCCCTTCAAATTTTTCACCATAGATGAAAAACAAAAGAAAAAAAAACAAAGCAAACCAAGGCCAAACCCCGTCACTCTCCGGCAAAAAATTGGCAAACAGTGTCGGACCATAGATGAAAAATATGAATAAAACAAAGCCATGGCAGCCACCCCCATTCTCTTTCTACCCTTTTCGCTGGTTAACCGTTGCCACCACCGGAAATCCCACGAGCTGGCCGGTTGGCGACACCGCTCTCTCTTCTTTTTCTGCAACTTCTTCAAACTACTATCGCCACTGGCCCAAGACCAGCAAGATGCCAGAAGCAGAGAAATAAACATACCCACCGGAAAAACCTTCGCTATCGACTAGGCCGAAAAATGGTGACGATTGCCATCCTTCACTGCCGCTCCAGATCTGTCACCTACTACCTTTTTCCGATTGAAATTGTCGAAAATGGATACGGAGGGAGGCGTAGATATTTGGAACTTGAAAGAAGGAAAAAGATGATGAATGAACTTAACTTTTTGGTTATCAGAACCTTCAAGATTCAATCTGATTTTTTTCGTTGCCAATTTTTTTGCAGATGAAATGGTGGTCATGGGTTTAACGAGGAAGGGGAAAGGTTTGGGAAAGCATTTTCTACTTTTCTATTTTTTTTGTCTTTTCTAAAATTCACGTGGCATTTCATAATTTGTTCATTTTATGTGTCAGTGCGGTTGCATTTCACGCCCGTAATGTATTGGATTGGGGTGTCCATGAGTTGCACTTTAGTCGAGAAAAAGTGTCAAAACAGTAAAGGGTAAGTTGAGGTGTCTGTCTGATTTTTTAGAACAATTTAAACTTAAAGGAGTTGTTTATGATTTCGCCTAAGTATTTTATGGCATGATTCTCATTTGATGCTGTTTGGTATAATGGCCCTTCAGTCTTTTACCTAGCTCAAACAAGTAAAGAAAGTTTAACAAATCCAACATTTTTTGGGATAAGAATTACAATAACAAAAAGGTTGCTTAAACTCATTGAAGAGCCAAAAACAAAGTGAGATGCAATTTTGTGCTCTGCACTAACTAATTATGAAAATAACATAACAATTAAAAATTTGTTCGGGTGGATCCTACTCACCATACATTTGACCCTTCAGAAGTTTTTAAGCCATAGTTTGACATTTCTTTAAACTCCATGAATTTTTTCTGTCTTCTCCAAAATCTTATTTGATCAATTTAGAACTTATTTTATATTGTTTGTTCCCTTTGAATTTAATTTTTGGCATTTTTAACTTCTAACTCTTGTAATTCTCTTGCCAAGTCAACCGAAAAACATAGAGATTGTACAATTTTTTTGGTTTCTCAATCGGGGTTTGGTAGGCGCATTAGGGCGACAAATGTGGATTTACATCGTGTAAAGACCATTAAAAGGGAAGCATTTTCTACCAGAATTATTTTCATATCTAGAGCTCGAATTTGGAACCGGATGGATCCTAACCATTCTACCACAACTTTTAGCAGTGACTTCGGTCGGATCTCTTGATGTCCGTCACTATCTTCCTATTATTGTTATTGTTTCGATTCATATTTCTCAAAAGTTGGATCCCACTTTAATAGCTCCGAATAAATTAAATGTGTGTATTCAGGGGCGGATTTAGGGGGCGAAAGGGTGTTCATCTGAACCCCTATCGCCGAAAAATTACACTGTATATAAAAAGGCAAAATTTATTTTTACCTCTATATATTATGTTTTGAGTCCCGTTGACACGGTCCAAAAGCATAACTTAGTGGTTAAAGGGGTTCAAAACATTTGTAAGGTCATTGATTCTATTCCCACTAGCTACAACTTTTCTAACTTTTTTCTTTTTTGAACACCCTTAGCGGTAATCCTGACTTCGCTACTGCGTGCATTAGGATATGAAGACTTTATATTCCGCAATGACAAAAGCACTTTTTCACTCTTCCACATGCTAGGGGACTTCACCTGAAAAAAAAAAAAATAGTTCCATACTAACATATTCAGGTCCATAATCCACGCTAATACAACACTCTGTCTTTAAACCAACCTTTCCCCTAGTGTAGTATCAAAACAGTCTGTTTGCATTTTCTAAAAATTAAGACCAATAATGAATAAAGCTGAAATATACAAGCAGCTTTCAGGCTTTCAATGATCAGTACATCTCCACAAAAGGAGCACCTACATTAATATTAACTGTAATGAAGTTTAACCAAAATGTAAAGACTTTTGACTAATAATTCCTAGAGTCTGATACCTGCAGACAGCTAGCTAGTACCAAGGGATTCAAGAATTGAAAGATCAAATTTATTCAAGCGCTAGCCCAGGCTAATCAGCTTGTCTGAGATGATGACTCTCAAACCATAAGTAAAAAAGAAAATGTGGATAAACATGGAATTTTGTGAATTCTTTCTTAGTAGAAAATGCCATTGTTGAACCCCTGATTAATGACAGAGGTTCTTTGGCAAGATTAATGACAGATATCTGAGAAGTGAGCACTATATATCCTAAGCATCTTGACTGAAGTACTAGTCTAACCTGCACTATCAAATGTGGTCCGGCCTTTCCCCTGACCCCACGCATAACGAGAGCTCAGTGTACCGGGCAGCCTTGATGTAACTATGTCAAACAAACTTTTGTTTGACATGGACAAATGACATCAACCTTTTAAAGGACAAAAACATAATATTGGAAAAGTTGAATGTACATCGCAGCCAACATTTACCTGTATCCAATACCACTACCAGCCCGAGTGCATTTAGACCTCAATGTTAATGGCGATCCCCAAAGTTTAATGATGCGATATGATTGTACTCGCCGGATAGAGATGATGGTTTTCCGCTGATGTCTACAAGTTGACCATAATAAATATATAGGCAAAACAATCTATATATAGCAGTTTGATCTCGCCTATTCATAGATAACAGGTTGCTTCCCGACTCAAAACTACTTGAAATTAAACTGTTCATCCTTTCAAGGGACAGTTAGATTAGACTGATTCTGTTTTTTGTTAATCTTCCTAGTATCAGATCAGACCGTTATTAAGAAGACTAACAAAGAATATGTTAAATGTTCATCCTAAGATGTTTATATAGAGAAAAGATGACCTTTTTTAATGAATAAATATCATTGTTTAGGTCATCGATCATCCTTTTGATGCCTTAAAGATAATTAATATTTTAAACACATCAATCTAAGCGTTATATTAAAAAGTTGCTGCGCAATTGGGACCGGTGTTTAGCTTTTATTTTCGAGCTTTAACATTGATTGATAGAATGAATTTTAACAAAGTACAACTGTCTAATGATAAGAATATAATAACATCAAGATTGAAAGATCATTGAGTGAATCTGAAATTTTACCATATCAAGCTGGAATGTGGTGGAATATATGTGATTCCTCCCCTCTTAACCAGAACTAGTGTTAGAACCCACGCGATACGCGAATAATTTGACAGAATATTAATCTTATAATATTATGATCTAATATATCATATTATTTTAAGAAATATTAGTTGTAATTTGACAGAACACTTCATAATATTTTAAGAAATATTAGTTGTACTTAACTCAAAGCTAACTCATGACGTGAGGATTGTCAAATTACTCTTCTCGCACCTATATGGGACTCAACAGTTGGGTTGGGTAATTAAAGATCTTACAATTGTATGTACAGTTGTTGTAAGAAACTGATCATGTACGCTTGTGCTATACACTAATATGTTTTACAGATGAATGTGATTGTACACAACCCATGAGACAATTTCTCCAAGAAACACAATAGAAACTATGACTCTGTTCATGTTAAGTAGATAAATTTTGCAGTTCATTAGTATATTATAAGGATAATTCCTACAACAGATTTGACAAGTGATGGCACCATTAACGTTTGTGCACGTGTGTGTTCATTTAAGTTATTCTTGGTAAATATTAGGTGAACACGAGAGGAGCGGAAGGAAACTCGAAATAAATAAATTAAAGAACTAAGCGTGGTGGTAAAAGCAAACTCAAGATTTGAAAATTTATAAACTCTTGAATTTGAAGTTTATGAAGTTTATTATATGTTCGTATTCAGTGAATTCCTAAACAATATACACCATGTAAACGCTTGTGCTCCGCCTTTACATGGTGGGAAAGTAAGACATATAGTTTATACAATATTGGGAGTGCAATTGGCAGTGCCGACCTAAGGTCCAAGCAAATAAAGCAAGAGAAACCTTCTGAAATTACTATGTTTTAGTGATTATTAGCTAGTTGTAACTACCATTTACTATATTACTTTCTATAGCTATGTTTTCAGAGTTTTTAGAGTATATTCGATGTATTTAAGTTATTGTATTCATGAATACAACAACATTTCTAGGCGTGAATCAGGGGATTACAGCTAAACAAATTTTTATATTCGAGTATTCCACTGTTCATGGCGTGAAATATGGGATTACAGCTGAACATAGTATTGTATTCGACTGTGTTCGACTGTATTCACAGCGTGAAACAGGGGATTACACTGTATTTAAACGGAAAGTGAATCAATTAACATAATAGACTCCTAATATAACTCAACAAACTCAATTATATAACACACAAATTTTGTATTTCCAGTTTAAAAAAGATTCTCAACCGAAAAACTCCCCAAAAATATAGCAATCTTCAGAGAAATTATATAATACATCTGAATATATAAATTATATTAATTAAAAAAAAACATATGAATACATTCATGGAATATAGCGAGACAACGAATACAATGAAATACATAGAATACAGCGGGATACATTGAAATACAATGAAAAAAAAGACAATGAATATAATGAAATACATAGAATACAACGAGATACATTAAAATACAATGAAATATATTAACAGAAAATTCAAGTTGCTCAGCCCTAAACTCCGTCGTCTTTGTTCAAGAACAATCCTAATGTCGTCTCGCCGTCACCGTTGCCTCCGGTTGCCGTTGTTACGTCGGAGAAAATTTCTATATCGGATGATTGCTCGACAACCCAAAAGTCTTCGCCGGAAAAGATGAAGCGCGACTGAAGTAATCACCTCTCGAAAATCGTACCAAGGATTCCATTGGCGTTGCTGTCGCAGGCGGTGTTTCTCTTCCGTTTGAAATTCCAATTGCAGTTTATTTTCTGGAAATCATAGCTTACAGAATCAGAAGCCCAAAGTTGAGTAAATCAATCAAATGCAGTAGCCATTATTTTCTCAAATGCTAACAGAAGAATTTTACCCTCTTTTTTTCGTGTTTTCTGGAATGGGGGAAGAGGATGGAGCGTATCAAATTAGAGAGGGAGAGAAGGTGGAATGAGAAGTTTACATCAAATACGGTAATTATGTAAGAGAAAAATCTGAAAAAGGAGAGAGAAAAATAAAATAAAAATAGCGTATATAGTGGCTTAAGGGGAGTAGGTAACCAAAAATAGATATTTTGCTATAAACATTAAAAGGTATCTATAGAATATAATATTTTAAAATGGTATTTATTTAAAATAAATAAAGTGTTAACCTTTGCTATAGAAGGTAAAAATTCCATAAAGCAATGGTTTTAGGTCCCCAAATTTTTAGGGACCCATTTTAAAATTAATAATATATTAATTATGTGGTAATTTCCTCTAAAAATAACTAAATATTTATGATTAAAAAAATTGATTATTTTGCCAATGGGATCTATGGTGACTAATAGTTAATTTACATTCCAATATTAATATTCCATTTTTCTTATAATAATACTTGTATTTTTTATTCTCTTTTCTTTCTCTAATTACTATGTTGTCTATTCTCCAAAAAAATCCAAGGATATTGAATAAATTTAATTTTTTTTCATTCTTTCTCATGTTCTTAAGTATTACAACAAACAAAGTAAAATAATAGAATTCTATTATGATGTCAAGTTATAAACTTCTAGAATCAAGTTCTATTGTCCTAACTTTTTATATTTTTTCTTTAGATTTGAAATTTCTTATTTTCTTACATTTTTACCTCATAGTAGTGTATACGATTTTTTTTTAGTTATATATCAGAAAACACATATGTCAACTATAAAGCATGAAACAAATTAATATAAATCTCTTTTTAAAATTTAGGCCTTTTAATAAAATTTGGCTTTAGAATTCCGTAGTTCTTGAGCCGCCCCTGGCAATTGGATCCACGTAACGACCACTAAAGTTCACCTTTTGAAGATTATAAAATAACTAAGTAGTATTTCTTGTGTGATTCTTTCACATAGAAATTCACAAGTGGCTTCTGATTTCTTATGCATCAGCAAAAAGAATAAAGCCAAAATCTTTGTTTCTTTATTCTTTTTCTTTTATACTTTATTTCTCTGCGTTCAAGGATTGGAAGGAGATCAGTGTTTTTTAAGATGCATGGCCATTTGGTTGGGATATCATTATGAAATTCAAATGGTAATAATCAAAGAATGTTTAATGTTTTGCAGTACAAGAGTCTGGACAAGAATCTAGAAAAGTAAATATTATAAATTAAATTAAATTAAAGACCTAATAGCGACAAGTAATATATTATAAATTAAATTAAAGTGGCAATCACTTTCTTAACAGTAAGATTTCTATCATATATACTTTCTCAATGTTTATTCTAAAATTATGTAACAATTAAATTTGTATGTGATTTTAAGGATATGTGATTTAATCTAACACGAACAATTAAGAATATCAAATAAATGAGTTAGAAGTGAAGTAAACGTTCAAACAAGTTTCAGTACTGTTATCAAGCTTGAATTTAGACTGATAAACGACCTCGTCCTCGGTCAGACCCTTAAGCCAGGCTGTGAATGAAGAACAGAACAAACAAGCAAAACTTAAACAATAGCTAAAAGGCATAAAATAAACTTGCATTGCTTTGATTCGCGTGTTACAATGTCCTTTACAGAAGAAAAAGTTTCCCCTTTTTAGAGTACGGGAGTCCTAGTATTAGTACAAGTCTATAAAAGCTAAAAATCTCCTCTTTCCTAGTAATTACTGATCCATAATAAATATCCAGCGAGATCAGCGCTGTGATATCTGGTTATGTGCGCGTATCATAGCCATCTATCTGTCGTGCGTAACCATTCACCGTATCCCCCGAGTTTTTGAACTCATCCTTGGCCTGGGGCGCGTCGCTTTACCATACCCGATGATGGGTATATCGTTCACCTTTATTGGATCTCGATACGAAGGATCTCGTGCATCCGTGCTCTCCTTTCGTTTTCTCATTGGGAAATCGGGGTAGACATTGCCCCTGATTTTACCCGTACACAGATAGTCCCCTCATTTTACGGAGAGTAGGTTTACCTAAATGATGGGAAGCGATAGATGAACCCCAGTTCCTTCCTTCGTACGTTACAACTATGATAACGGGTCAACGAAACGTTCCATCAGTTGTGTTGTTCTGACTTCGGACACGTGTCAGCCACCGGTTGATTGTCCTCGAATACAAAACGTCGCGCATAGATTATTCTTCCCCTTTAAAGGCTCCGATCCCAATTCACTTTCTGATTCTAAGACATACCCTCGAATTCTCCAATTGCTTTTAACTCCTCCAAATCTTCATACATTGCTCCTTAAACCTTAGTATCTTCATATTCAATCCTCATACATTCTCTTTGGATCTTCAACCTAGACCTTCATACCTTCATCCCATCTTCAAATCTTCATATTCTTTCTTCAAATATTCATACTTTTCTTTCAAATCTTTATATTTTCCAGATTACGATGGCAAAAACTTCTAAGTCAGTACCTCAGCAAACTACTCCTTCATCTTCCAATCCGGCTACAGATGCTGAGGTGGCCATTCCCGAGGTGGCTCAGGATCCCCCTTGAAGAGCTTCGTACCCAGGGGCTGCTCTATCGGGAACAATTTTCAAGTTGAGAAGGCCTCTAGTCAACAGGACCGAAGCGAGGAGGCATGGAGATGCATATGCTCCATTATCGAGGAGACACTACCCAAAGTCCAGGTAGACTGTAATTGGGAGGGTAAGGAGGTAGTCTGTCACGACCCAAACAGGAGGGCCATGACTAGCACCCGACCATACTTGCCGAGCACCAACGT